TGGTAGACTCTCGCCCAAACCAAAAACCCCCCTCCCGTCCGATTCCGATGCTGTCGAGCTGCGAGCTATCAGATCCTCGGGTGGCTTCGTCCGTGGTTCGTCTTCTGCTTGGGGTTTGCAACTTAGGGTTTCGGGTTTAGGGTTTAAGGTTTAGGCAGCTTCGGGGCGTTATGGGTTGGGATTTGAAATACTTTCGCCCCATAGAGGCTAACCTGCTGACTGGTCGGCTAACTATGCACCCATTGCCTCAAGGTTCCCTAATGTAGGGGCCTTAACGGCCTTAATGAATGATTCGAATAGCGTTTGGGGCCCATTATACTGCAAGTATAAAAAAGTAACCGCCAAAGGCGTATAGGTAGTTATTAAGGCCCCTATACTATAGTATCCTTATGGATCCCTTATAGTAGCCCTTATAGACCCCTTTAAAGGAACCCTAGGAACCCCATACTCCAACAGGGGAAGCCTTACCAGCCCAAGGCGCTACAGTAGAAGCCAGAAAGTTGGAATATCATCATTGTATCCCCTTTAAGGTAAATTATAGGGGATCCTACCATTAATCCATATTCCAACTTTCCGGAGTTCCCTTTACAGTATCCTGACGGTGCCAATTAAAATCCATCTCCTCAACAAGGACCCAGACCTGCTATGGGCACTAAGCTTCTGTAAACACAGTATATGGACGTGTGTGTGCATGTATGCAGATATGTAGATGGATAGGTAGACAGATAGATAGGGAGAGATCAGACATTAGTGAGCTAGCTAGTTAGTTGGGGAATTAGTTAGTTACTTACTTAGTTTGTTTGTTGGTTAGTTAGTCAGTTAGGTGGGTGATTAGCTAGTTAGCTAGTTGGTTGGCTAGCTGGCTAGTTGGCTAGTTGGCTGGTTAGCTAGTCGGCTAGTTAGCTAATTAGCTAGATAGTTAGCTAGTTAGCTAGTCAGCTAGTTAGCTAGTTAGCTAGCTAGCTAATTAGCTAGCTAGCGTTAGCTAGTTGGCTGGCTAGTTGGCTAGATTCTAGATAGCTAGATAGCTAGTTAGCTAGTTAGCTAGTTACCTAGTTACCTAGGTAGCTCGTTCGTAAGTTCGGTCGGTCGGTTGGTTGGTCGGTCGGCTGTTGGTCGGTAGGTCGGTTGGTCAGTTGGTCGGTAAGTTGGTCGGTTGGTTGGTTGGTCGGTTTGGCTACTTAGATAGTTAGCCGCGGCACCGCTCTCTCCAGAACGTAGCCGAACCTTTCCAACGCGCTGTGGAAGATATCCACGCTCTCGGAAGGATCCTGAAGCAAAGGTGGCAAGGTGGAACCCATGAATGATAACCACCCTTTCTTCAAGCGTCTTCGCCTTTAGGATTCCGAGCATCGTTTTCATCAGTGGCCTACAACACTTGCCATATTGCCAGCCAGGCTCGAAAATTCAATTTTCAACCCAGTTACTCCAAAGCCCCTCAGTTACAGAATGCCCCTTAAGTTTCGGTAGGAACTCTCATGTCACTTCAATAGCTGCCTCGGCGTCTCTGGAAACTTCCTCAGATTTCCTCAGGCTTCATTTCTGCTACTTCTGGAAGCTGCACCTTCCTGGCTTACTACAAGGGCTACCATCAGGGTGTTATGGGGGTTACTTTTAAGCTTGCTAGAAGGGAGGGCCGGGTGCCTTGTTAAGAAATCCTACTACTCATGCGGAGTTCATAGACTGGGACTGGAATGATGTACACTCACGGTTTAGGGTTTAGGGCTTTAGGGTTTAGGGTTCAGGGTTTAGGGTTTCGTTTCCAGAGGACGCGTTTCCAGAAGATCTCTTCTGCAGCTCCTGCTTCAAATCTGCACGAGGTGGGATCCACAGATTTTGGCTCCGGACAGGCGGATGGCGCAAAGGACCGTTCCCCAAAACCCTAAACTCAGAATCTGTAAGAGGCCACCGAAGCCCTAAACCCAATCCCCCGAAACCTTAAACTCGGAATCTGTACCCCAAACCCTAAACACCCGAAGCCCTAAACCTTAAAAACCCTAAACCCCCCCGAAGCCCTAAACACCTGAAAAAGCATGGGGCGTGTTGTCCTGCGCTGCTTGGCCGAGCGTTGGCAGGCCGACGGCAGCCGTGAGGTCCTTCCAAAACAGAAGAAATTACTATAATTACTAGAAAGACTATAGTTACTATAAGGACTATAATAACTATAAGGACTGAAATTATTCTAAGGACTGGAATTTCTATAAGACCTGCAATTACTAGAAGGACTATAAGGCCTATAATTACTATGAGTACTATGATTCCTATACAGGTCTGCTCTGTCAGGGCTACAAAGGTCAAAATAGGATTACCGAAGGGCCACTGTCGAAAACAGGAGCGGCAGTAAAGAAGTCTTTGGGGTTAGACAGAGCCTCAGGCTGCAACGGTTGATGACATAAATCCTGCATTACCCAACTAATACGGAATATAATTACCATAATTCCCACAGTTTAGGATCGTCAAGGTAATACAATGCAGGATTTATATCATCAAATGAAGTGGGCACTGTTAGAGGGCCCCCACATCGTTGTTGAGTCCCGGGCATGTTGCGCCGATGCTGATTGGCCCATGGTACGTCTTCGCCCCTCGCCGTCGCCTCCTTGAGGCACAGATGGCTTAGTTTACGGTTTAGGGTTTGGGGCTTAGGGTTTGGGGTTTAGGGTTTGGGGTTTAGGGTTTGGGGTTTAGGGCTTAGGGTTTAGGGTTTAGGGTTAAGGGTTTCCGAGGGAGTCCCAAACAGTTCTGGTACTATAGGTGCCTTATTGATTAGAATAGGGCTCCTTTAGAGGGGGTTTACACGGGTGACTACAAGGGATCCATGTGGGTACTATAATCTAATAGAGGGGCCTGAATATTTAGAATAGGGTTTTGGTGCCATTATACTATAATCATAATAAGCAACCCCAAAATAGTATTGGTAATCATTTAGGCCCCTATATTAAGGGTTCTGCATCGGTGCTTAGAAGGTGTTACAAAGTTTGTAGCCTTCTCGAGGGCCTTAACATTAAGACCCTTATTATTCTGCTTGCTAAGAGCAGTCGGTTGTTGACTTTGTTTGTCTCGACCCCGAAGTCCATCGTCACACCCAACAACAATCTGGGAGCTTCCGAAAATTGGGGGGTACCTTATTTTGGGTGTCTTTAAAATCAGGATCCTACTATTTAGGGTACTATAGTAGGGTCTCCTATGTTCGGCAACTCCCATCTGGCTCAGTCGGCTCAGCCGAGAGTTCAAGAAAGCTGCCTTGCACTCAAGGCGTGAACCACATCTTTCGACCCCGCAACCTCCAAACCATGAAAGGACCCTTTAAAACAAATCCCAAACCTAATAAAGTTGCTACAGCTGCGTTGCCCCTAAGAGATAAGCCGCCCTATAGTTCCCTTACTAGCCCAATAAACCTCAGAAATACAAGGTTAAACTTTCCGATTCCTACTCAACTATAAGAGCCCAAAAAGTTTACAGGTTAGGTATTGGGGATCTAAGTTCCCTTTCAAAGACCCTCTGTCTGTGGGAAACCCTCCTCTTGCTCCGGATCTCCAAAACGCTAAAGTCTAAGCGATTCTAAACCCCTGTATTGGAACCCTTTCTAGGAAGCCCTCTTGGGAGCCGTTAGGGTTTAGGTTTAAAGTTTTTTTCGGGTTTAGGGTTTAGGGTTTAGGGGGTAGGGGGTTTAGGGTTTAGGGGGTTTTGGAAGCCACAACTTTGGATCTCAAAGCGGCCTTCATCCCCCAAAAGGGCTAAGCGTTCAGGGACCCTGGAGCTCAGGGCTGAGGCTACCCTAGAAAAGGGACCCTGAAATCCCCTAACCCTCACCCTACATTCTAAATACTAAACCCTGAACCCTAAACCCTGAACTCTGAACCCTGAAACCCTAAAACCCTCAGCTCCACGGCAAGCTGCCTCACTTCCGGAAAAGGCGAAGCAGGAGAGGCCCCATTTTTTGGGCTTTCGGAACCCAGCACTGGGGTTCAGGGCTTCAGGGGTTCAGGGCTTAGGGTTTAGGGTGTTTGGGTTCAGAGTGTTGGGCTATTACTAGGGTTTAAAGTTTAGGGCTTGGGTGTTGAGATGTAGGTTTAAGGGCTGAAGGGGTCCCCCCCAGTAGGGTTCGGGGCCTCTGGGCTGATAAGAGGATGTTCTTTTTTGGCTCCTGCTGTGTCTTACTGAGCTGAAACGACGACGGCGCTTGTCTCGCTTGTCTCCGCCTGTGTGCCGTCAAGCATGGAACAGATGCCTTGCAGGATCATGGGACTTAGTAAGTGTGGTTGTGAATACCTTTAATAGGGGCTAGAAGTCATACGTACAAGTGCGCTGAAAACAGCCCCACTTACAGGAATCCTCTAGCCCCTACATATGGGAGTTTCCGAAAACAGGGGACCCTAACAAAGTACCCTAAATAGTAGGAGGATCCTTATATTAAGGACCCCCAAATATGAGGCACCCCTAATTTTCGGAAACTCCCAAAGAGGGGAAGTCGTTTTAATGGAATGCGGGGGGAGCCGTGCCCTGGCAGTGCTTCGAAACAGAGCCGGGGCACTCAGGGATATAATCCATAATATACTTTTCGTATCTTGAGTTTAATATTGCTTTTTTATTTTTTTAATATACAAAAAGATTTCAACAAAAATTGGTTATTATTATTCAATATCCATAAAGGTTCTGTAAGGATGGTGGGTTTAGGGGTTCAGGGTTTCGGGTTCCCTTAAAGGGTTGCCTTACAGGGCTCCTGAAGAGAGGATCTAAAAGAGTTCTACAAGGGTGGTTTTAAGGTTGCTTAAAGGCGTTTAGGGTTCCTGTGAAGGCTACGATACGGCTACTACAAGGGGTGCTAGATGGGTGTACTATACTTAAAGGATCATGGGACTTAGTAACAAGGGTTCCGGAGAGGGCGTTCCTATAACGTACCCTTAGTAGAAAAAGGGCCTCAAATTAGGGGATCTATTTTCTTGATCCTCCCGGAGGTCTGGGTAATGCTTCAGTTTTGCAGACAGATCTTGGGCTTCAGCCAGAAGTGCATAAATGGCCGAGAAACGCCTCAGCACGTGGCGAATCTTCTGTGCGGAATAACCGGACACCCAATGTTAATACAACTCTAAGACGATCCATGAGTGTGGTCCTGACTTAGGGTTTCCGGGGTTTGGGTTCCGCAAGAGGCAGCAATACCAGCATCTTAGCTTGGGCACATTCCATCGCTGGCCGCGGTCACGACCACCACCTCGACATGGTCAGGTGTATGCCAACAGAAGTGATGCAGCCTCCACCACCATCACGTGACATTCCCCGGAACAGCCTGCGAGAAACCAGAGGATTCGAAGCCACAGGCCATAAACAGATCATGCAGAACTCTTGAGTTTAGAGTTCAGGGTGCAGTGTAGACCCCCGATTGATAGGCTCCCCTTTTTCTGTTTAATGGTTCCAACATTAGTATCCCTGATTGTTAGCCAGGAGAAAAGGCTTATCAATCAGGGTCTACGCGTATGACGAAGGATCGTCGATAGGCTCTTCATCTTGTCGAGCTGGTACAAGATTTCATTGGAGCCTAAGGAACCTGCCTTTTTTAGGGTTCCCTGATGTGATTTCTTTATATGAGTCCTTAAAATGGTAGGTTATTTGGGGTCATTAAGGTCCTCCATATAGGGTTTGAGCGGAGTGTCGATGGCACCTTCTTCTCAGGGCCTACCCAAGCCTAAAGAGTGTCTTTATCACTCCCTGAGCCCCAAGAGTCCGATTCCGAAGCCCGAAATAGCCCCAAACCCTAAACTCCAAACCCGAAACCCGAAGCCCCTAAACTCTTACCTTACCCTTATAAATCCACCTTTTTAAGGGAAAGGAACCCCCAAGGCCCAAGACCAAAAACCTGCCGCGGAAAGCCGCAGCCCAGTGTGCTCTTCCCAGAGAGCCCAATACCCCGTAATTAAGGAATATAGCCTAGGGTTCCTTTAAAGGGCTCCTTAAAGGGATCTATATAAGGAATATAGCTTACATTACATAGGGCTTCATATTATGATTTAAGCTATATTCCTTAATTAAGCGGTATTGGGCTCTCAGGGTTGGTTCTGGGAAGCCGGCCAGGCTTGTGGAAAGAAGGGCGTCTAGCGCCTTCAGTTCGCAGCCCAGGGTGTACTGTGGAGGTTCATTATAAGTAGGGCTCAAAGGGTTCAATTAAGGGATCGAGAAAGGTTCTATAAGAAAGAAGGGCGTTCCCGTAAAAACCTCCCAAAGCCCTGAATTAACGACTATCTCCCTACATTCCCTTACATTGCAATCGGAACCCCAAATATGATTTAAGGTCTGTTCGTTAGTTGAGGGGTGGTGGGGTCGCTGTGGGTAGAACCGTTCGGGGCTCCGGCGTGGAGAAACAGCACCCCATGCGAAGTGAACATCGTCACAAGGACGCTTTAGCCTTGCCTACAAGCTTCAGTTACTACTTCTTATGGCTCAGGGAGAAGGCTCGAAGGCTACGGCTGGGCCTGGATCAGGGAGGAGTAGGGGGGGGGCTTCGAGTTGGGGCCGGATGTCACATGAACTCGTCTAAAGCGTCCTCAGCTTGAGCCCAACAGCGGTGGCTCAGCACCTTGTAGCCCAAGGTCTGAAATCAACTCTGGAGAGAGGAGGAGGCCACTACTATTATTGTGATTGGTTATTCTTAGTAATTCTTGCTTTTAATTGTTAATACTATTCTTATGATAATTATTATTGTTATGATTAGTCTTATTGTTATTCTTTCCAGCCGCATGGGCAACCTTGCAGCCCTGCTGAGTATCTTTTGCCGATGGCAGGCTCTCCATCTTTTGGTCACCAGGTGAAGGCTACGGGCTTAGTTTGGGGATTAGGGCTTAGGGGTTTCGGGTTAGGTCGTCTGGAAAGAACTTGAGGTAGGCAGAGGAGCCTGCAGATAAAATGGGTCAGTTCGCGCATGCGCCACGAGAAAAAACACCGGCCATCTTCATCTGTAGAGACAGAGATCAGGTGAAGATTGCTGGGGTCTTTCCTGTGGCGTACGCACGAAGTGACACCGTTCTGCTAGGATCTGCAGGCTCCTCTGCTTACATGGTCTCGCATGCTTCTCGAGATTCGTTGCGTCGTCACCGGAGTCAACCAAGCCCATGAAGTCAGGGGGTTGACGTGTGGTCGCATCGACCCGGAGCTGGGCATGATGAGAGCTGGGAGAAAGAAGGCCCAGACAGAAAAACACTCCCTCAGCCGGCGGCTCTGGCTGGCCATCATCCACAACGAGTCTGACACATGTTCTTTGGAGGTCTAGGGCTGCGGGGTCGGGTTTAGGGATTAGACTAGGATAAGAGGTTCAAGGTTCAGAGTTCAGGTCAGGGGTCTAGGTTTCAGGGTTTACCTTAACCTTCCAGAACCTACTTTTTTGTAGGGTCCCTATAATTCCCATATTAGGGTTCTGAATAATAACCTACAAAAAAGTAGGGTCTTAGGTTTTAGGGTCCATGGTTTTAGATGATCTCACCACGTACTGAACGACACGTCGGCCAGCGCATCGATCTGCTGGGCAGAGGTCTCCTCCGGGTCTATTGAGTATTTGGGGGATTTGTGGGCTAGGGGTTAGGGTTTAGACCCCAAGGAACCTACCGCTTTTAGGGTTTAAGGTTCCCTAATATGATTTCTTTTTCTAGGTCCTGAAAAAGTAGGTTATTTGGTGTTAAAGTAGGGTTTAGGGTGTAGGGGCTGAGGGGTTAGGAGTATATAGGGTTACTGCAAGGCTTGTTGGTTGAAACCGTGGCGGGCTGTGTAACTCCCAGGAATCCCAGCATCCCTTAGCTTCGGAATGCACCTTCATGGTGCATGTTATAGGATTTCTGACTAGTTACTAGTAATGTACCTTAAATCATATTAACCAGCCTGACATAAATTGAGGCATAGTCCTCAATTAACGGAATAGTACGTCGTGGCGGTGCGCATTTTGCGAGACTCCTAATTGAGGGGTGCTAGGCTCTAGCTGGGACGGTTTTAGGGTCTAGGGTTTAGGGTAAGCACCTCTTGAAATCGATAGCACCATGAGTGAAAGGGCTACGGTTGCCACAGCTACAGCTGGTAGCATCTTCAGATGTCGATGGCGAAAGGGGCCCGCACATGCTCTATAGCGAGCCGGAATGCAAAGACGCAGGCTGAGTATCAGCTTTCTTTCTCTGGCGCTCCGACTGCGAACCGCTCGAATAACTGACTGCCCCTCTGCAGCAGGATGCCTGGAAAGCGCGTGAATGACCGGGGCTCAAGCCTTCAGCCTTTGGCGACGTGCAGGGAAGAATCTCAAGCGGCACCTCGCCAGCACTGAGACTCGTGAAGTAGCTGCGCAAGCGCTTCGTCTAGATCAGGGCCGTAAACAATTCTCTCAAAGACGACATTCTATCCATCGTTGCAACATATAAACCTGCGAGCACAGCGACCAGTGCTCCGGCGGAGCGTGTACAACTCCGACGGAATCACTAGGATTCGCAGCCATGCCCTCTCGACCAAAGCAAGACTCGAGGAGGCAGCTGGGTTCTTGGTTACGGAGCTCTTCCTTTCACACAATCACCATAATCAAGGATGTTTAGGCATGCTCGCCCTGTTGTGCTAAAGTGCGCTGAGCTCCCAAACAAAAACCCAGGGAAACAAAAACCGAAAGACTCTCCGGATGGGACGCCAAGGCGCGGACACCGCAAAAACAAATGCCCCCACATCCCTAAGAAGCCTTTCGTTCAGTTGGCAAGCCCCAGGACTTTTTTGCGAGTGTTAAGCAGCTCTGGCGCCACAGAAAGCCTCGCAAGCACATGCACATTGGTGCAAAATGCAGCTCTCTCTCTCTCTCTCTCTCTCTCTCTCTCTCACTCTTTCTTTCTCTTTAAGAGTGCCTTCGTCGTGCAACAGACGCAAGATTACATCCAGAGGTCCAAGCACCCATAGGGCAGCACCCGCAGTAGCAGAGTAGCACTTATGAGGTACCCTATTTTGGGGTTCTTACAATAAGGATCCCACAACTTAGGGTACTATATGGGGGTTTCCGAAAATAGGGGACCCTAATATTATAGTACCCTAAATAGTCGGATCCATATTACCATGATCCCAAAATGAGGTACCCCTACTTTTCGGAACTCCCATAGTCGGGGGTCCTTACCCCGTCACGGTGCGTGGGGACCCCCGGGCCAAGTGATCGGCAAAACTCTCTTCGCACACTCCGAGAGCAGTGGACTGTGGAGCTGCAAGTAGAAAAGCGAAGATGCGATAAAGTAATGAATATACGAACTTTAAGGATAGTAAATTTATGGGTCATTTTTAGCTATTGAGTTTACTATGCTTATATTTTCAGATGCTATACTTGGAAAGGTTTCCGTCCTCGAGAGTGCCCATAGTACCAGGCTCTTCACGGAAGTTGAAGGGTTTCCGAAAAGAACTCAAATCCCCAAACTCCAAAGGGATCCCCTTGCTCAATCGAGAGCTGGAAAAACGAAGAGAGCCGCCTGGATGTCACTTGGTCACTTGGGCAGGCCTAAACCCTTGGGCCGGAGACGTCTGCATCGGGTCGATCCGCTCGGTCGCCCGATGGTGCAAAACTGGTATCGTTGCTTCCGGTGTGAGAAGTCGACGTCGTGCTGGTGGTTGTCGATGGGTCGCCCGCTGCATCGGTGTCGTTGCTGTCGGGGAGCGAAGTCGCCGTGGTGCTTACGCTGGTGATGCTGGTGACCGGTGTTGGCGATGACGGTGGTGTCTTGCTACTGACAACACCTTTCACATTGATGGACAAGCCCGCGCCCTCTGCTGGGACCCCAACTTCCAGAAGGCTCCGGATGAAGACCGCGTTTTCGTCCGGCGGAGTCGCCGCTGCCAGGGCATTCTTGGCGGAAGTTTCGTTGGCCTCTGACAAAACGAAGACGACGTAGTCGAAGTCCTTCTTCGCCAAGCGCCGAGCCAGAGCCAAGCGTCTGCTTGACCCGCTGATCAGCACGTGGTTTGGCAAAACCGAATGCCCAGTGAGGTTCGCCAAGGTCCTCCGAAGGGCCTCCGTCACCAAATGCGAAGACTCTTCGAAGGTTTCCGGATCGTCGACATCGACTTCGACGGTCCCCTCGAAATGTGGGGTGTTGTCAGGGCAGTGGTAGCTGCCACTCGCGAAGATGCACTCTTCGGCGAGGCTCTCACAATCCAGTCCCAAAGGCCTTGGGCAGCCAGAGTCCAAATTGTCGGAATCACAACCGCACGTGCGTGGGCAAAAAGCTTCCACAGTCTTGAGTCCCCAATCGAATCTCCAAGAAAAGCAGGACCCCCACGTCACGCCCGTCTCGGTGAGGTGGTCACCGAAAGCACAGCCATGATCCCACATCGCCTGAGCTGTGAGGAGGGCTTCCTCCTTTCCCTCGGTCTCGGTGTCCGTCGCTTCCCCGATCGCCCGGATGGACTCCACCCACCTGGGAGTTTCCGAAACCAGGGGACCCTAAGATAGAAACCTAAGTAGTAGGATCCTACAATAAGGACCCCAAGATAAGGTACCCCCGAATTTTCGGAAACTACCCACCTGGACCATCTCTCGTCACTGCGCAGCTCTGCCGCCGACTTCTCCTCGCAGGTGTAGCTTTCCAGGCTCTCTAGGAAACCTCGGCTGACTGCTGAACCCGAGGATTGGCCCTATGCCTGCCCTTAAGCCCGTCCAAAAAGTTAAACTTTGAGCATAGAAACCCAAATGGTTCATACAGAAACACCCAAAAAGGGTAAGTCCTAAGAGCCAACCAAAAAAAACGCCAAGAAGCCGCTGGAGGACCAACAGGCCCGGCCAAGACCGTAGGGGCAGCCCGCGATCTGCATCACCTGGGACGGGTGCTTAGTAGGGAATGGGGTTTAGGGTTTAGGGACCTGCTTGGAGGATCTTGGGACTTAGTAACTAGGGCTTAGGGTTCCTTTTAAGGGTACTATAGGGTTCTATAATAGGGTTCCTTAAAGGGATCTATAAGGGTTCTATCATGGGAGGATCATGGGACTTAGTAACTGTGGCTATAAGTCCCTTAATTGGGGGTATAAGTAATTATAAGTGTAATTATCCCAATAATAACCCTAGTTTCTAAGTCCCATGATCCTTCAAGTGCGACTGGTGCTTAGTAGGGAATGGAGGAATGGATCCCTAGAGTAGTCCCGATTTAGGGTTGAGGGTTAAGGGTTTGGGGTTTAGGGTTTTGGGGCTAGGGGTTAGGGTTAGAGTAGTCCCTATATACTCCCCAATAATCGTCTCCATGATCCATTCCCCATTCCCTACTAAGAATCAGGCGGTCACCTCTCCGGCTGGCAGCTTCCACCCCACTCCCTTTCTGAGTCTAAACCGCCAGAAGGAAATGGGCCATAGGATCCCTGCTCTTTGAAATTAGAACCCCCAGTGAAGGCTTTTTCTCTTAGCCTTAATAGGAAAGGGGCCTTAAAGTTAGAATAAGGATTTGGGGCTCTTTATACTATAGATATAATATGGAATCCCCTAAAATTGTAATGGTAATTATTTCGGCATCTAAAGGATAATACCCTTGTAGATCCCCCTTTATAGACCCCCTTTCAAGGAATCCTAGGAACCCTATATAGGTAGTTATTTAGGCCCCTAGGGCAAACCACCCACCTCCCCGGCTGGATCGTTGCAGCCGCAGGTGTCCGAGCAGAGCATCCGGGCAGCGAAGCCTTTCCCCTTGCCTGCGTCTCTCAAAGGGGAGAAGGAGGGACCCTTAATAAGGATCCCTAGGTATATACCCTTAATATAGCTATTCTATACCCATTATATAGCTCATTTCAGGGTAGGGGTCCCCATTAAGGGTTTTCCTTTTCCCCTTGCCTGCGTCTCTCTGAGGGTTTACTGGGGTTTAGGGCTTCAAGGTTGCTTGAAGAGCTCCTTATACGGATCTCTGGGTTCCTTAAAGGGATCTATAAGGTTTAGGGTTTAGGGCCTAGCAGGGGACTTAGTGAGGGCGCTTCAAGAGCTCCTTAAAAGGATCTATAGGGTTCACTTAAAGGGATCTTTAGGGTTTAGGGTTTAGGGTGTACTTGGAGGGGCAGGGGACTTAGTAAGGGCTTTTAAAGGGCTCCTTAAGAGGATCTATAGGCTTCCCTTAAAGGGATCTATGGGGTTTAGGGTTTAGGGCGTACTTGGAGGGGCAGGGGACTTAGTAAGTAGGTTATAAGTAGAGTTATAAGTACCCTTTCATGGAGTTACCCCGATTATAACTCGACTTCTAACCTACTTACTAAGTCCCCTGCCCCTCCAAGTAGGGTCCAGGGGTTAGGGAGGAACAAAAAATTGTTTTGCGGGCTGCCTTTTCAGGATCTAGGCCTTTAGGCTGGAGGCGCTCAAAGACTTTTTGGGGGTTTGGGATTTAGGATCCTGTACATGAGCTCCCTTTTTGAAATATGAGGACACCCAAACCACCAGGAGCAAAGAGGATCTCGAAAATTGGCCAAGCTGCTCCCATCCATCAACCCGCAGTAGGGCCGAGCATCGTCGCAGCCCATCAAGCTCTCGTTGCCTAAAAATTCACGCAGGTAGTTCCTCAAAGGCTCTGTGTCACCCAAGTCAGCACACCTTGGGTTAAAGACATCGACGGACTGCTCCAAGGGTAAGATCGAGGTCTCCGTCAGAGCATCCACGCTGCCAAGCCAAACGCCCCAAGAAGTTCCAGAGTTCGCATCACTGACGCTCAGCACTTCGGCTTCGTCGACGGCTTTGGACTGCAGCTCGTAGCCCCCATCTTTCCAGCCGTCTCCCTGCGTGGGGCTGAGGAGGATCACGTTGCGCTGGTCCGTGGTCCACACGAACTGCAAGTTCCCTCCGCACATGGCGTCCTTCGCGCTGTCGAGGGTCGCTACCATGGGGGCCAGCATGTTCAAGTAGACAATCATCGTGACCAACGGGATCAGCACCAACATCGACATGGACTTCACGTCCGCACCGCGAACGCGGGGCCAGGACTTCATGGGCAAGGGATCCATCTGGTTCACCAGGTGCCGCCCGGGAGTTGTGGCCAAAGCCTTGGGACTCGTGCGAACTGCGGAACTGCCAGACTATCGTCACAGATATGAAAGGAGTCTGAGCGGCATCGAAGAGCAGATCGTCGATGTCGAGGATGATGGCCAACGCCACCGCCTGAGGGCGAATCTATCTGGAATTGGCGTGGCTTCCTTTGCCTTGCCACATGGCGAAAATGCTGGGGCCACGGCATTCAGGATCAGCTCCGTGACGTCGATGGTGTAAACCAAGAAGAAGGTCCTACGAATACGAGTTCATTTTGGAACTTCCTGGCGACGGTTCCACTATGTAGCTACGAGGCTTGCACCCTCAAAGCCTCCTATAAACCACATCGCGCAACCTCTTCGCGGAACCCGAAACCAGACTCCGCGGCCCAACCCTAAGCCCTACGCCCTAAACTCGAGGCGGAAGGGCCCTTAAGGTGGGGGGTCCCCACGTAGATGAGAGCCGCCGCGGCCAGCAGACGGTACGCCAAGAGGATGGCGCTGGCGATCTTCCGCCGCACGGAGACCGAGATCAACCTGTGGCAAGAAGCTTTTTGTTGGGGCCTTATTAATTAGACTACAATAAGGAACCCCCAAGATGGATTGGAACTATGGTACAGCTCAGCTTGAATTTCAGTGAAAAGGCTGCAAGAAATTTTGGCGAAGGCCCCTCTCACTCCCAGGCCCCAGTTCTTCCTGTAGTGCATGACAAGCCAAGATCTTGATTTTACTCTACATATTCCGGAAGCCCCCTCGCGCAGATTTAGTGGGAGGCCCCCTCTAACTCCCAGCTCTTCCAGCCTGTCGTAGAATCTACCGTAATACCATCATAAAATGCCATTACATTCCATTCCATACCATAACATACCATAACATACCATAACACACCATAATATACCATAACATACCATAACATACAATAATATACCAGAATATACTCTTCCAGCCTATAATGCATGACGAGCGTGAAGGGGTTCTCCCGGCTGTTGATTTTGGTCGGCCCAAGAGGGGTGGCCATGATGCCACGATGCAATGCCAGGCCATGGTTCACCTCCTCCGGACGGCAAGGGTAGCGGTAGGGTAGGGTAGGGTAGGGTAGGGTAGGGTAGGGGTTGGGGTCGGGTCGGGTAGGGTGGGGTAGGGGTAGGGGTAGGGGTAGGGTTAGGGTAGGGGAGAAAGAAGAAAGGTTTAGGGGTTTAGGGTGTAGGGTTTAGAGTTTAGGGTTTAGGGTTTCGAGGGACCGTCGGGTAACACAGTTACACCCTAAACCCTAAACCCAGTTTCCCTAAACCCATTAGAATCCCCAAACCCTGTAACTGGACAATCCGCTGAACCCTCAACCCGGCTTGTGCAAAGCAGACTTTCACCGAGAAAGGCTACTCCGATGTCACGCACCTTCTTCAATTCAAGCGGGGAGCCGGGCACTTCCACAAAAGACGGTTTAGGGTTTTTAGGGTTTTTAGGGTTTCCGAAAAGTTAAAAGCACTCCATCGATTCCTCCATAAACTCTACTCTGCAATTCCCTAAACCCCACACCCTAAACCCCAAAACCTTGGCCACCATCAGGTACCAGCAGAGCAAGGCCACCAGACAAAGGCGCTCACCAGTGAAGAAAGACTCCAAGCCTTTGGGTGTTGGGTATAGGGTTGGGGCTTCGGGTTTCGGGTTTAGGGTAACAGTCTGAGAACAGTGGGTTTCGAGTTAAGCGATTGGGAATTAAGGGTTTTTGTTTTGGCGCCCCTTCTCTCGTCTGCAGCTCTCACCACAGGGAAGGGTGTTGGGTTTAATTGGGGTTCAGGGTTTGGTCTCTTGCAAGCTCCAGGGTTACCATTGGGGAGTGTGAATACTGAAAGGATCATCGGACTTAGTAATTACGATTATAACTACCTCAATTAGGGTTATAAGTAACTATAAGTATAGTTACCTCAAAAATAACCTTTTAGTTACTAAGTCCCATGATCCTTTAAGTAGACCCTAAACCCTCCTTATAGAACCCCTATAGAGATCCCTTTTAAGGAGCCCTTTAAGGAACCCTACAGTTACTAAGTCCCATGATCCTCCAAATACCTAAAGCCCTAGAGCTGGCTTTAAGTCTTCAGGGCTTCAGACCCAGAGCTCGGTGTAGTTTTTGTGGGGCTCGAGCTGTGAAGGCAAACCCTAAACCCCTATATCCCTGAAACCCTCAACTCACATAAACCCTCGGGGTTTTTAAGCTTTAAGGATGCAGGATATTGACGGGATTATTATGACTATGATGGTTGTTGTAAATATTAATACTGGTGGTGGTAGCGGGTGCAGGAGTGATAGAGGTAGTGGTAGTGGTAGGTAGTGGTAGGTCGTGGCAGGTAGTGGCAGGTAGTGGTAGGTAGTGGTAGGTAGTGTAGGTAGCGGTAGGTAGTGGTAGGTAGTGGTAGGTAGTGGTAGGTAGCGGTAGGCCGTGGTAGTGGCAGTGGCGGAAGCAGCAGTAGTAGCAGTAGCAGTAGTCGTCGTCGTCGTAGCACGAGGATCATTACAATGTATGCGTACTCTGCTGCTATTCTAACTATTACTACTACTACGACTACTACTACTACTACTACTACTACTGCTGCTACTACTACTACTACTACCACTACCACTACCACTACCACTACCACTACCACTACCACTACCACTACCACTACCACTACCACTACCACTACCACTACTACTACTACTACTACTACTACTACTACTACTACTACTACTACTACTACTACTACTACTGCTACTGCTACTGCTACTGCTACTACTACTACGATACTACTAGTACTACTAGTGTTAAGATATTCTTACTCTCACTATACCCTAAACTCTAAACTTTTACCCTAAACCCTAAGCCGCTGTGATTACTACAATTCTTCGGGTGCTGGGGTTTCGGTCTTTCGGGCTGTGAGCCTTCCGCTCCCGGCTTCATGTACCGGATGATGTTCTCGTAGAGGGTGACCTGGGAACTACGGTTGATGATAGAAATCCTGCATTGCCCCATAATAAGGAATAGACCATAATTCCCACAGTTTCGGGTCCTTAAGGTAATGCAGGATTTATATAATCAACAGTAGAAGGGTTTAGGGTTTAAGGGAATTAGAAGCGTTCTATGAAGGGGTAACATATGGGTGTACTATACTTCAGGAATCATCGGACTTAGTAACTGGGGTTCCTTAAATTAAAGGGCTCCCTCTGGTGGTTCTGCAAGGGTTCTACAAACAGGGGTTCAGGCTAGCTCAAAAGATCATGGGACTTAGTAGCTAGGATTTTGAGTAGGGATAAGGCAGCTATACTTCTAATAATCACTTATAACCCCGATTAGGGTACTTATAACTCCAAGTCCCATGATCCCCCAAGTAGTGCAGGGTTTGGGATGTAAGACGTGGGGTTTGAGGGTTCGGCCATTTTGATGTTTGAGGTTTAATGCTCTGAGCTTAGAGTTTGAGGTCTAGGTCTTGTGAATTGAGGTTCTGGATATGGGATGGTAGGTTGAGGGTTCCCCCGACACGGCGCCGAAACATGCTAGAATGTACCCCAAAACCCCATAGGAATCAATAAGACCCCTGATCAGACCCCTTTATTACAGAACCATAATGGCAAAACCCTAACCCTAAAGAACCTCCCAAGAGAGCCCAATACCCCTTAATTAAGGAATATGGCTTAAATTATATAAGGCTTCATATTATGATTTAAGCTATATTCCTTAATCAAGGGGCATTGGGCTCTCTGGGATCCCCGGCGCCTGGATGCCGGATGCCGGCAGGGATTTGTCCAGCGCGCAGACCCGCTCGGCGAGAGAGGACTTCGAGAGCGGATCATACCTTCTTAGAGGCTTTGAGGGGCTCTGGTAGGGTTTAGCGTTTGGGTCTTTGAGGAGTTCCATTAGGGTTCTCTATAGGGGGCGTTCTATAGGATGGCCCTGGCAGGGTTCTAAGGGTTGTACACCTGGGCTTGTTGGAGCAGGTTCAGGAAGCTTGTCTTTGTGGGTATTGTTTTGCTGCAAAAGCTAAGCTCTAAACTTTACCGAGAAGGTCGCAGAACTTAGATACACGACACATAGTATACAATATATACCAGATGTTACCAACTACATGTTTCGTGCTTCGACTGCATTACATTCCTTTGTCATATCACTTCATGTTCAGTTCTGCATCGCACAGACCGTTTAGAGAAATAAACCAATTCAGCAGATGAACCGGCGAGTAAACAAACATTGAAGTAAAACGGACAACTACGCAAATAAGCTAACTGCACCATCAAAAACTGACATGAGCAAAGACAGACAGGCATGAACAAACAAATCAGTCATACTGCATACGGGTATATGGCTCTGTATGATCTCCACTGTGATAACACACGATAAACGACTAGATTAGATTCGATTAGATTCGAAGCAGCTAGATACATGAGGTTCTGTCAGATGTGGGTTGTATCGTATTGTGCGATCACACATTGCGATGTGGGGGTCATATGACAACTTGTCATCAAGGCTATATACATGTGTAAGATGCATGTATGTATGTATGTATGTACCTATGTATGTATGTGTGTATGTACGTACGATTTATGTGTGTATGCTTATGTATGTATGCATGTATGTATGTGTGTATGTATGTACGCGCGTACTGTACATGTGCGTCAAAAGAGTACATCTACGATGTACATTTTACTGGGCTATTCTATACTGGGCTGTATTGCATCATGTTATATTCTAGTACACGAATTTATACTATATTGTGCTACACTACACTACATTATACCATGTGGAACCGTATTCTACTTTATTACACTACATAAGTATTCCAGATTCTGCCATGTTCTATTACATTGTGTTGGAACCTACTTTAGTATATTCTGGCAGGAGCATATCGTAGTAAAACTAGCTCTGTGTATTCTCTTCGAGACCAGTATAGTCTAGTCTAGTCTAGTCGAGTATACTCTAGTATGGTCTAGCATACTCTAGTCTAGTCTAGGACCGTATAATTAGTAACTCATGTCATCGTCTGTTATATTGTGTTACACTAGTCTACATGATGGTACAGTGTAAATGTTGTTACTGTTCATTTAACTTGAGGCTCACTTTCCTCATGTCATCGCTGCGTGAGAATACATAGTCCTGTACTCCACAAGAGAGTCTTGTGTTCGATTATCGGCACTCTGCGGTCTTGTGTTTGAGTCCAGTTACCCTAAACCCCTGAAACCATAAAATCCCAAAAACCCCAACCCCAAAACACTGAAGCTCTACAACCCCAAAACCCCAACCCCAAAATAGTAAACCCTCAACCCCAAAACCCCAACCCCAAACCCTATAAGCCCTATAGAACCATTGGATCCCCTTTAAGGAACCCCGTTAAGGAACGCCCACCCAGGGCACTGGGTCAGCGCGTGGCCGGCGGAGCGACGCCAGCGGAACGCGTCCCGGACCGTGTCTTCCTGGGATTTTGCCACGGTTTAGGGTTTAGGGGTTTAGGGTTTAGAGGTTTAGGGTTCAGGGTTGCTTCAAGTGGGTTGGGGTTTAGGGGTTTAGGGCTTTAGGGATCGGTTTAGGGTTTACGGTGCTTTGCGGTTTTAGGGCTTTCGGGGTTTAGGCTTCTGACATGTTGCTTCGAATTTCTGAGCGTTCAGGGGTTGAGGCATCAAACATGGGGCTAAGATTCAAGGTTTGAGGAATGCGATTGAGGGTGTCTTGAGTCATAGTGTCTGTAACAAGGGGCTGCTAGGGCTGTGGAACACATGTCAACAAGCCCAGTTTCGTCCACTTCGGGCGTCAGGAAGTTGTACCAAGCGATGCCGGTAAAGACCTAAGAAGAGGAACACCAGGAGAGTCTGGTGCACCGGATGGGCCTTGGGTTTCGGGGTTTAGGGTTTAGAGCCAACCCGCCCGAAAATGCCGCGAGTGGCAATCTGCATGGACATGCTGACCACGGCGAGCAGGAAGGTTTGGAGGGAGCCCAGTGGACCCAGCGCACCTTAGCTCTGGAATTTCAAGGACGGTCGGTTTTTTCGGCTTGTCTGCTTGGGTGCCGGTTCCGATGAAAAGGAAGAGGTCCCACGTGGACTCCCCGAAGCGGTAGTACTCCTGCGTCTGGACCTGAGCTGCACGACCACCTTTCTCATCCCTTGCTAGGTCTGAGACAACGTTTTTTTCAAACAGGCAGAAGGAAGCGTTTGTAGTGCGGCAACCTTGTCGAACTGAAAGACTCTGCCAAGAAACATCCAGCACCTTCTCATCCACGTGGTCCACGACCGGAATCGTAATTCGACGCCGAAGCTTGTCTGAAGAATCCGGAGTCGGCTGCGGGTCATACCTCCCAAAGGCCAGATCCGGAGGGGGGGGAGCCTTTCCTTCACCTGTCGTGAAGTCTATGAGCTTTCCGCACCCCCAAGAAACTCCAATATCCCTGAATTTGAGGAACATACATTAAATTATAGTAGGATCCCTGATCCCTAAAATGATCTAAGGTATATTCCCTAAGTAAGGGACATTGGAGTCTCTGGGCCCTTGAAAAATGAGGTGAATTCGAACTCCAAAGACCCCACAACAGCGGGCTCTCACTCCAGGGCAGCCAAGGAACGTGGACTTGCTCTTCTGAGAGTCGGCCGTCGAAGACTCGCTCGCTGGGTCCGACTCGAGCTCGTTGGTCTCACTTAGATCGTCTACCTCTGCGATGGGACACAACCGTGCATAAAAACGCAGAAAGCCTCTGAAGAAACTATCGCAAGATCCACGATGGAGACAGAGTCGCCAGAGTCTCAAAAATAATGACACTCAGAATCTCAGTTGTAATAACAAGAAGAAGGAGAAGACGAGGAGTGCCCTGAGGCCCTGCTTTCCGAGCTGCCCCGAAGAAGAATCGCACCTCCGCCATCTCCAGCGCCTGACACTGCGCCGAAGCCAAAAAAAAAGCGGGGAGAGGGAGTCGGAGAGCCTTTTGAAGGAGGGACCCCCATCTCAGGTGACCCTTGGTCTGGTACTTTTAGAGGGTTTCTCGAAGAGGCTTCCCTTCGAAGGGTACCTTTCAGGTTCCAAACTAGGGTTCCCTCTTAAAGGAAACCGCTTCAGTGGAAGCCCCCAAGGGTCCCCGCCGAGGCACCTCCGTTGCTGTCGCCACGCTCATCTCCGCCAAGCGTCCGTTGGACTCAGAGACCTGCAGCATCTTCTCCAAGGCCTGCTTCCAAAAGCTTCTGCTACGGGCTTTTGGGGCATTTTCGGGGCGTGTTGGTGCGCGGCAGGGCTTTGTGGGCTTTTTGGGTTTTCGGGCTGAAGGTGTAGGGAGATTTACAGATTTCCAACAAGAAGTAAAGCAGAGATCCCACCGACGCCGAAGCAACAGCTACCGGTATGAATGCGTATAAATATCATATTAGGAGTGTAAGTAATGCAACACTTGTCATACCATATACTGGGACATTGAGACCATGGATAAGTACTTAAACGGTCATGGGACTTAGTAACTAGGGTTGTTATAAAGGTAACTATACTTATAATTAGCTATAACCCCAAATAAGGTACTTACAACCATACTGACTAAGTCCCCTGCCCCTCCAAGTATATCCCAAACCCTAAACCCCATAGATCCCTCCCTTTAAGGAGCCCTTTAAGAGCCCTTACTAAGTCCCCTGTATACCCCAGTCTCCCCAGGTTTTGCCTGGACTCGCACGTCGAGACCTTCAAGAGCTGAAAGTCGAGCCTCCGAACTCGAAGCGTCTGCAGCTTCAGTTTGAAAAGAACTCGAAGTCCGTGGTGACAAGATCTCTTCTAAGCAGTGTACTATATGGTATATTATATATAGTATTGCCTAGTACTTGAAGAGAACTCTGAGTCTTTCGGATCTCCAGCTACCCCCGCGCCGAGATGAAATGCATGCTCGGAGCCTCGAGATGATCGAAATGCTCATGGATCTCCTCCAGAGCTTACGGCCTAGGGTTTCGGGTTTAGGGTTTAGGGTTTAGGATTTAAGGTTTAGGGTCTCCCTAAATTCTAGGGTTTTGGGCTCATGGATCTCCTCCAGAGCTGCAGATTGAAAGTCTGTTTGCGGTCCGTTTGGGTTTAGGGTTAGGGTTTTAGGGTTGGGCAAAGCACCCTCCGTTTCCCTGCAACCATAGCTACAGTATCGCGAACCCGAACTGGGATGCATGGGAGGGTGCTTGCAAGCTCCAGATTGCTGGACGGAAAAGTGTGTCAGAGAGTGTCCTGCAGCACCTGCATGTCATGCTGCACATTCGAAGACATGGCGCCCACGCTTGCAGAACTTAACTATGTGCGTCTAAGAACACTGCCGCCTGGCGTCTGCATGGCATATGCTGCTCTCTGTATCTTCTGAGGCTTCTGGAACTAAACATCGCGTGGAGCACAGGTTCCACAAGATAACGCGTCGAATGATAAGTCCTCTGGCAACATGTGGCACAAGGGCTTTGAGCCGCAATCCAGCTTCGGGGCACATGGTCCGTAAAGGCCTGCAGTCGCAATCAGGCCCACATCACAACAAAGTTTCGTCTTGCATGATTGCTCCGAACTGCAGCTCTAGCCAGCACAATAGTGCATCACGCTCAACCTGCTTCCGAAAAGCAGTCGGGTCCTGGGCAATCTCCTGGGCCATCACCCCAGTGGGTTTGACCCAAGATCTAGACACTGGCCTCAGTGAGCAATTCCGAAGCAGATGGGGGCTTTGCGGTCATGGGAAAACATGTGCGATGCCCCGTTGATGCATGGCGTTCTTCCACTCCTGTTGTCTCCCCGAGGCTGCTAGTTATGACAGTTCTGGACGAGCCCGAGTGCCAACTGCAAGCATTTCCCATGCAAGAGCTCGGAAGTACTGCACGAGCTGGCACTGCGTTCAGGCATTGCCATCCCACAAGGCCAGCCTGCAGCCCAGAGACCTAAGCTTGTTTGATAGTTCTTGAACAGCTTCTTGCTGAACACGTTTGAAATTGATGCCCCGTTGACGCATGTCATCCTTCCATTCTTTCCTCACCATTGCCGTTATGTGTCTCTTCAACTGTTTGGAAGGAGGCGGAAGATTGATGGCAGCCCTCCGAGCTTCTGGATCTTCCAGGAATGTCCTACATGCAGATGTCTCTGCCATATGGCGGTGAAGCATCGGCTCGCCAAGAAAACTGCGCTGGTAGAAGGAAGGCGTTTTCAAGGTTGATACAAACATCCACTGATTGTTCAGTCGGAAGCTCTTCGTCTCGAAATAGTGGTCCTCCGCCTCCGTCTGCCTGTACCTCGAGAAAAAAGTATGCACCAACTTCTTCGGGTCATCGCGACATGTCCAGGCATCGAAAGTGTACAGTTCTTTCATACCAATCTTGTCTGCAAGGTCTTTTGACAGGGTCAGCATCCTATCCTTTTCCCCCTGTCTCAAATCTGCGAACCCTAAGCGTGGTTCTTCCATGTCTGCCGCATCCACCAAGCCACGCTCTGTGGCATCTGCCAGCGAGAACGGTTGCCAGGACCCCTGTGGTAAATTTTGCCATGCACAGGTCGATGTTCCAGCAGCCGTACTCTCCGAATAAACATCCTCCTCCTTCCATGCCAGATCTTCCTTCAGAGCCTCCTGTGCATCAACGTTCTCCTGCTCAGGTTGTAGCTCCTCTTTTACAACCTGTTCCGCACCAGTGTGCTCCTCTTTGGCTCGCAGCTCTTCTCCCTTAACCTCCTTCGCATCCCAGCCAGGATCTGGACTTCCGAAGCTGCGGATGACTTGAGCAGGGCTTAATCCTGTTTCCACGCGTTGCCTCTTCTGAGGCTGCATGGCGTGCTTGATACTGAGACGCTGCCGTGGAACAAGGACTGAACGGAAACTACAGTCGGTCTTCCTTGCATTTGCGCATGACCCCTGAATGTAATGGTGTAGACTGTGTAGAATGGTGGACATGGAAGCAGGCGCAATCCTCCGTATGCCCGTATGCAGTCAGAATCGTGTTCGCATGTGCTTGCTACCTGAGGGACATGTGCAATTGACAGTCCAAGAGACCACGAGGCACTAAAGTCGGGATCGCAGTGTTTCGGATTGGAAAGGACGGTTTCAAAAGAGCTCTCACGTCTGACTGGGGCCTTGGCCGGCAAAGTTCGATGCTCCCGCCACTTTATCCAAACACTTCTGCGGGCTCCGCCTGAATGCGGTCTCAATGGTGTCGACTCTCAAGTGCAAAACGCGCTGTGCATACACATCTGGCTCGGCATGAACTTCGTCTCCTCAACTACAAGCACTCAAACACGGACGGCGTTGCACACACACTTGTGTTCGCTCACCGCCTGGGAAGGGAAGTCCGCTTTTTCCCTAAACAGCTGTCTCCACCTGATGCGCCGCCTCTCACAAAAGGTCTGCTTGTGGCCTTTCATGGCCTGTGACGCCCGAGACCATCGGAGATGAAAACAGGCTTTACAAGGGACGCTTGTTCGTGGTGCTCTCGCGACGTGTGCCTTTCAATTCGCCCGCCGGGGAGCAGGCGCTTTGGAGTCCGGACACTACGAGCTTCAGGCTCCAACCCGTGCACTAAGGAAGGCCGTGTCAGGTCTGTTGTTGACATCTTCTGAGCTTTCGCATCCTTGAAAAAAGAGACAAGAGGCCATGCCCTGGCCTCCTGCACCGCGCTCTTGCGAGTTCTGCGCCGGAGATCTCGTTTTCCCTTCCTGCGCTGCAGACTTCGGGAAAGCAGATCTTGAAGTTTAGGATTCCGGGACTTGCAAAAGGGCCCGTCGCTTCGCGCACCCGACACCCAGCTTCGATTCTCGGCTCTGGGCTGCGGAGCTTCGGAAACGTCACTCCGCGGACATCGGACATGTGAGAGCGGTTTCTCCTTCGACTGCCCAGGCAAAGGTGTCCAGGCAAAGGGACGGCGCACACTTGCTCCAGGCATCTCGCTTCATACAATGCAACAGCGCCCACGCTCAAGCCGCGGGCACGCTCCAAAACCGCGGCGAGGCCTTCTGCTTCTCAAGAAGCAGCCGCCGGCTCGGGAAGCTTGGCGCCTATTCTAGCGTCTACTTGTCGAGTGCCGGACATCGCTTCGGCCCGAAGCTGAGTCCACGGCATCCATGGAGTGCTCGGAGCCTTAAGCAGCTTGTCAGTGCCAGCGTGTGTCAAGTTCAATTTCTTCATTGCCGTGGCTCGTGGTGCTCGGAGTGAACCTCTTAGCAGACGAATTACAGCTCATCAAGCAAAAAGCCCATCAACTCACGACCCAACGAATCTCAGGAAGCATCCGAAAACAGACGAGAGGAGAGACGGAACCGCAGAACCCGGTCTCGTCAGATCCCATCGAAAGCTCCCCGCGGACCGCCGCAGCTGGGAGCAGACTAGGCCTCCCTTTGTGACGGGTCTCGCTTCAAGGGCTCTGTAAGAGTTCCAACTTGGGTTCTGAATACTCAAATTTAGTGTTTTTTAAATCGGGGGGCCTGGCCCAGTCCACCGTTCCTTTCGCGGCAAGGTTTGATGCTCATGTTTCTCCCCCGTTTAGCTGGGCTTCCCATGCATGGACAGTCGAAGCAGAAAGGATCCCACTTTCTGAGGCCACCGCCTCGATCTCATCGAAAGGAGCCTCCTTCTCCGGATCCATCGAAACCGTGTGCTGGTCTACGAATCTCGGGGCTGCAAACGGTTGTCCTTAATTCCGCGCTACAGACCGCTCATTGAGAGGGTTCAGCATGTCCCAGCTAGAGCTGGACTACCTCCTGAGATGAGCCCCGGCAAGACGTCGGACATGTCGTGTCCTCCGTGAGAAGTGCTGCGCCTATGCTCTGTCAATGAGTGTATCCTACAAAGCGAAGCCGAAGAGCAGGAGCGCAGCTTTCTTAATCGGCCGCTCCGATCGCGAAACCTCTCAAACAGACTGCCCGTCTACAACTCCGGTACTTGAAAGCCGCGTGAACCAACGAGGCTCGCAGCTTTTGGGTTCAGGGTTTAGCCTTCGGCCGTCGACAGCGTCGACATCCGGAACGTGAAGAATCTCAAGCGGCACCTCGCCAGCATTGAGACTCATGAGGGCGTTTCCATCAAGGACCCTAATCTAATACCCTAAATCATAGGATCCTTATTGTAAGGACCCCCAAAATAAGGTGTTCGGAAACTCTTATAGAGCCCTGTAAAGGAGCCCTTATAGTACCGTTATAGTAACCCTTTGAAGGAACCCTAAGGTAATACGCTAAATAACAAAAAAGAACAAGAAGAAGAATAGGATCCTTATTATAAGGACCCCAGAATAAGGGTCCCCCTAATTTTCGGAAACTCCCATGAGGTCACTGCACAGGCGCTTCCTATGGACAGCGGCAATGGGCCCCCGGGACACTTCTCTGCAAAGGCATGGTTTAGGGTCTAGTTTAGGTTTTGCATCGTTGCAACATATGAAGCTCTGTGGAAGACTGCAATCGCCAACGCAGCCACCAGTGCCCGGTAGAGTACAACTACGGTACAACGAAGATTCAGATGGAACAGCCCGGGATTTGCAGCTTCGCTGCCAACCCGGCGTGCGGTTTGGCAAAGCAAGGCTCGAGGAGGCAGCAGGGTTCGTGCTGTGCCCAATCACGCTGACACATACGCCGTAAATTGCTGACATGCTGTCCTTCTTATGGGCACGCACACTGAGTTCCTAGTAAGAACCCAGACAGACAAAACCAAGAGCCGGTAGTGTCTCTCTCCGGGTCTCCCTGAGAATGTCTTGGCCGTGCAACAGACGCAAGCTTGGAGAGGGTCCTAGCCATACTTCGAAACCGTGAGGCTCAAGTATCTGGGAGTTTCCGAAAGATCGGGGCACCTCATTTATAGTAAGTAAGGAACCTACTATTTCGGGTAGTATATTGGGGTCCCCTATGTTCAAAAACTCCCATCTGGACTAAGCCAGGACTAAGGGTGGCAGCTCGACACAATCATCGGCCCGCACTCTCAGAGTTTTCACCGGGATTCGGAAAAGAAGTTGGACGCCAGAGGGCGGCTGGCGCCCGGAAACCAGGACACGGCGTTAGGCTCTCCGGTTTAGGGTTTAGGGTTAGGACGAAAGCGTAAAGCCTGCATAATTCGTGGAAGTGACATAGGACAGCCGCTCTTGTCGGGACCTGGTTCCTGGCTGTGTGGTGGCTTCGATCTTTACGGAACGCAGCACAGAACTACAACAGCCGAACCCTCCGAAACTGGGTTCTTGTTAAGGGATTTTGTTTAGTTACCATAATAGGGACCTATGGTAGCTGCTATGGTTTCTTTCTTCAGGCAACTTTAATTACATCCCTTAACCACTAAACCCTTATAGAACCCCTAAAGGAGCCTTAAATCATGGTAACTCAAATTAGATCCCGAAAAACAAGAACCCAGGAGAAAGAGGGGGCTTCTTAAAACGCAGAAGTAAACTGTCTGGTTCTTAGTAGGGAGTGGGGGAATGGATTATGGAGACTATATTGGGGGTGAAATAGGGACTACAAAAACCCAACTAAGGTACTTGTATCCATACTTACCATTGCTAAGTCCCATTATCCCCCCACTACAGAACCCTTATAGATCCCTATCCCTTTAAGGAACCCTTCTTGGTCCCTTCCCCCCATTCCCCTGCAACCCTAAACCCTAAACCCCGACCCCTGAACCCTAAACCCTAAACCCTTAATAAGTAGTGCCATAGGGATTTCCATTGTGAATCTAATATTTCATTTTAATATAATAATCATTGAATCTTGTTCCATTCCCCCCATTCCCCCCTAAGCACCAGACAGTCAAAGCAGGACCCCCGAGGCCAGGAAGCTTCGAGCCGAAGCCTCCAGGCCTGGGGCCGTTTTCGATGGCCGGAAGTCGAGGGTTTAGGGCCGTTTAGGGTTGGTTTTAGGGTTTAGGGGTTTAGGGGTTTCGGGTTTAGGGGTTTAGGGGTTGAGGGTTATAGGATTTAGGGTTTAGGGTTTTAGGGGTTTAGGGGTTTAGGGGCTTAGGGGTTTAGGGTTTAGGGGTTTAGGGGCTTAGGGGTTTAGGGTTTAGGGCTGGTGGTGTCACCCGGTGGGCTCGGTGATGGCGTACTGGGCGCGCTTCCCTTCGCAGAGATTTCAATCTCCAAGTCCGCACCCTCCGCCGGGATCCCCAATGCCAGAAGGTTCCGGCTGAAGACGGTGTTCACCCGCTGGGTCCTAGTCGTCATCCATCCAAGGGCATCCCTGGCGGAAGTTTCGTTTGTATCCTCTGATAGCAGGAAGATTGTATACTCGTACTCCTTTTTCGCCAGCCGCCGGGCCAAACGTATTTGGCCGCTTGGAGGTGCACGTTGGGTGATCAGCACATGCTCCGGCAACACGCCATTCCCTGTGAGACTCGCCAGGGTCTTCTGGAGGGCCTGCATGATTTGAGTCCGAGACTGCACAAAGGCATCCACATCGTCGAGGTGGACATCAGCTATCCCGTCGAAATTGGGGTACGCGTCGGGGCAGTAATACCTGCCGCTCGTGAAAACGCATTCAGCGACGGTCCCACAATTCCTGCCCGCAGGCCTTGGGCAGCCAGAGTCCAAATTGCCAGAGTCACAGCCGCAGGTGCTTGGGCAGAAGGCCTCCACGGTCTTTAGGCCCCAGTCAAATCTCCAAGAAAAGCAGGATCCCCATGTCACATTCATCTGCGTGAGGTTCTCACCGAAAGCACAGCCATGATCCCACATCGCCTGAGCTGTGAGGAGGGCTTCCTCCTTTCCCTCGGTCGCGGTGTCCGTCGCTTCCCCGATCGCCCGGATGGACTCCACCCACCTGGGTGGTTGTCAAAATTATGGTCCCTTTGTGGGTCCTTCATATAATACGGCACCAAGTATTTAGGGTACCCTAATGTAGTACCCTAAATAGAAGGATCCTTATTGTAATGACCCCCCAAACAAAGTACCCCCGAATCGGAAACCACCCACCTGGACCATCTCGCGTCACTGCGCAGCTCTGCCGCCGACTTCTCCTCGCAGGCGTAGCTTTCCAGGCTCTGTAGGAAACCTTGGCTGACTTCTGAACCCCTTCCAAAAGTTAAACTTTGAACCTCCTTATTCTGGTTCATATAGAAACCCAAATGTCATATAGAAACCAAAAATGTTAAGTCCTACTAAAGGTTAAACTTTTAGCCTCCTTATTATGAAAGTCCTAAGAGCCAACCCGAAGAACGCCAAGAAGCTGCTGGAAGACCAACAGGACCGGCCAAGACCATAGGGGCAGCCTCTAGGTTATGATCTACTGGGGGATCATGGGACTTGCTATGATTATAAACACCTTAATTGGGGTTATAAGACTTGGTAAGTATGATTATAAATACCTTAATTGGGGTTATAAGACTTGGTAAGTATGATTATAAGTACCTTAATTGGGGTTATAAGTATAGTTACCCCAATAATAACCTTTGTTACGAAGTGCCATGACCCTTTAAGTAAGGAGTTCATTTAAGTTACCATACTAGGGGTCCATAGCAGATAATATGGGTTTCTTCATTAAGGTAGCCTTAAATGGTTCCTCTACGGGTTCTATAAGGGTTTAGTGGTCAAGGGATTTCATTTCAGTTAGCATACTAAGGAAACCACATTATTTACTGTAGGTTCCCAAATTATAGTAACTTAATTTAAATCCCTTAACCACTAATTAAACCCTTCTAGAACCCGTAAAGGAAGCTTAACCGAAGGTACCTTAACCCAAATTCCTTAAGAAGAACCCAGGCCTGCAATCTGCATCACCTCTCCGGCTGGATCGTTACAGCCGCAGGTGTCGGAGCAGAGCATCCGCGCAGCGAAGCCCTTGCCGTTCCCTGGATCTTTCCGCTTTTGTTTCAAGGGTTTGAGGGTTTCGAGGTTTAGGGATTTAGGGGTTTATGCACGACGTCTGCGGACCATCCAAGCGAGAAGCACGCCAAGATGCTTAACAGGACGACATACGGGTTTAGGGGTTTAGGGTTTAGGGCCTGGGAGTTTTGGGTTTTGGATTTAGGATTTAGCGGGGGCCCTTAAAAGTATTTATGAATAGATACCTCAATAATATACTATAGGAACCAGAAGGGGAATTAAAACGCCTCCCAAAGCGTTTAGGGGTTAGGGAGAAAAACAGTATTGTATTGCTGGTTGCCTTTTCAGGATCGAGGGCTTAGGTTGGAGGCCTTTAAGGGTTTCTTAAGGCTTGGGAATCAGGATCCGAGCTCCTTCTTTGTACCCAAACCACCAAAAGCAAACAGGATCCCGAAAATTGACCAAGCCGCTCCCATCCATCAACCCGCAGTAGGGCCGAGCATCGTCGCAGCCCATCAAGCTCTCGTTGCCTAAAAATTCACGCAGGTAGTTCCTCAAAGGCTCTGTGTCACCCAAGTCAGCACACCTTGGGTTAAAGACATCCACGGACTGCTCCAAGGGTAAGATCGAGGTCTCCGATAGCGCATCCACACTGCCAAGCCAAATGCCCCAGGCAGTTCCGGAGCTCGCATCACTGAGGCTCAGCATTTCGGCTTCATCGATGGCCTTGGACTGCAGCTCGTAGCCCCCATCTTTCCAGCCATCCCCCTGCGTCGGGCTGAAGAGGACCACGTTGCGCTGGTCCGTGTTCCACACGAACTGCAAGTTCCCTCCGCACATGGCGTCCTTCGCACTGTCGAGGGTCGCCACCATTGGGGCCAGCATGTTCAAGTAGACGATCATCATGGCCACAGGGATCAGCACCAACATCGACATGGACTTCACGTCCGCACCGCGGACCCGGGGCCAGGACTTCATGGGCAAGGGATCCATCTGGTTCACCAGGTGCCGCCCGGGAGTTGTGGCCAGAGCCTCCAGACTTGGGTGAACTGCGGAACTGCCAGACTATCGTCACAGATATGAAAGGAGTCTGAGCGGCATCGAAGAGCAGATCGTCGATGTCGAGGATGATGGCCAAAGCCACAGCCTGAGGGCACTTCTATGTGGAATTGCTGTGGCTTCCTCTAGGTCGTCGCTTGGCCAAAATGCTCGGGTCGCTGCATTCAGGATCAGCTCCGTGACGTCGATGGTGTAGACCAAAAAGAAGGTCCTTCCGCGTCTACGACTCAACTTACACGACGGTTCCACCTACAAAGTCGCAACCCTCAAGACACGAACATCAAGCAACCTTTGCACAGAAGTTGTACTTCGAAGAGCCCCTTAGATCTGGGAAAGTACGGGCAAAAGGGCCCTTTGGGGGGGTCCCCACGTAGATGAGGGCCGCCGCGGCCAGCAGCCGATACACCAAGAGGACGGCGCTTGCGACCTTCCGCCACCCGGAGACCGAGATCAACCTGTGACTAGAAGGTTTTAGGCTTTAAGGTTAAGGGTTTAGGGGCTTAGGGGTTTACTGCGGCTGGAAGTTTGCAGCTCAAAGACCCTGGTTCTACTTAAGATATGCCGCAAGCGGTGCAGATTTAGTCGGCTCTGCCTGTAATGCATGACAAGAGTGAAGGGGTTCTCCCGGCTGTTGATGCGGGTCTGCCCGAGAGGGGTGGCCATGATGCCGCGATGCAATGCCAAGCCATGGCCAACCTCCTCCACAAGGCGCAACTCTTCTCGACCCACGACCTGCACGACCTGCACGACCTGCAACCTAGAGCCTAGAGACCTAGGGTTTAACTTTCGTAACGTTCAAACGACCTCTCCCTGCAAAAGCCACGAGGTGGGCTGCAAGTGACTTTTTCTGGGTGGACCCCCTTTACAAGGACGTGTACTCTCAACTGTGCCCTCTTTCACAGAAGCGTTCTAGCGGTCCAGGGTACCTGCTTGAGGTTTAGGGTTTAAGGTTTAGGGTTTGGGGAGCTTTGAAACCCCAATTTCATCCCATCAAGGGTTATACTCGGTGATCATTAGCTTCCGCCCCCGAAAGATCTTCCTCCATTAAGTAGAGGAGGAAAACCAGCTCAAACTATAAACCGTGTAATCCTCGGAACCCAAAGCTCTGAACCCGAAACCCTGAACCCAAACCCTGAACCCAAAAGCCTTAAACGGTAAACTCTAAACCCAAACCCTATACCCTAACCCTAAGCGCTACAGCCCTGAACCCCAAACCCTCCTTGGCTACCATGAGGTACCAGCAGAGCAAGGCCACGAGACAGAGACGCTCCCCAGTGAAGAAGGACTCCACGCCTTTTAGGGCTTAGGTTTTAGGTCTTTCGGGTGAGGCTTTAGGACTTCAGGGCTTGGGTTTGACGGCTTCAATAGAATGGCACCCCTCCTAAGTAGCCCTCAAAGTACCCCTGAGAGAATCTGCATGGGAGCCTTGAGGGAACCCCCTATATTACCTATCTTTTGTAACGAAGCTCCCACGAGACTTCCCTTAAGGGCTCCTCCAAGGATTCCCGAGAATTCCCCCAAGGGACTCCGAGATTTTCTTAAGGGCTCCTTCCAAGAATCCTTAGGTTCCTTTCAGAGGCTCCCTAGGGTTTGTGTGAGGGATCCTTGAAAGGCTCCTTTAAGAGCTCCGTCTTGAAGGGATGAGCCCAGGACTTCCTTTCAACCCCGAAATCCCCAAACTCGACATCCAGGCCTCCTTTAGGGTTTAGGGGTTGAGGGGTTTGGGGTTTGTTAAGCTTGGTACACTTCTCGATTTGTGCGTTTAGGGTTTAAGGTTTAGGATTTTAGGACTTAGCATTTTAGGGTTTAGGGTTTTAGGGTTTAGGATTTTAGGGTTTAGGGTTTAAGGGATCCTTCACAGGGGCTCGCAGGGGTTGCTCGGACTCCAAGCCTTCCGCCTTCGGCTTGAGGTAGCGGATGATGTTTTCGTACAAAGCCATCTGGGGGGAAGGCCAGAAAAAGCTTGGGGGTCTGGGGTTTGGGGCATTGTGGCGTTAGGGTCTGGGATGTTTCATGTTGAAGCTTGGTTTTTCGGGTTGTGGGATTGAAGCTGCGGAAGGGTTTGTGGGTTTGAGTTTTGGGCTTTCGGGAGCAGCTTAGGCTAAGGTTTGAGGTTGAGGGTTCTCCGACAAAAGCACGCCCCTTCTGCCGAACGCTTTCTCAAACGCGGCACCTGGATGCCGGATGTCGGCAGGGACTTGTCCAGCGCACAGACCCTCTCGGCGAGCGACGACTTGGAGAGCGGATCATACCTGGGCTTACCTTTGATTAGTAAGGTATGGAGAAATGGGGTGCAATTATAACTACTATTACCACCATTCTTCCATTCCCTACCAACCAAAGGTAAGCGGGCTCTGATCACGTCCAGAGAAGCGGTTGTTAGGAGCACTCCTGGTTGGAAAATTGAATCTGGAAATTCACGCATATTGCAACGGTGTGAGCATTTACATGTATACTACTCAGAGCTTTCACCTGAAGCATATCATACATGCTATCCTGCGCAATTTATACTAAGGGTTCAATACTAGATATGGCTTATTGCAGCCTGTATACTGCATAATGTATATGAAAGCATCTACAGCATGTATTCTCGTTTTCAGGCTGCGCAGTATATGTGATTCATGATGAGTTTTGTGTTCTGTTGCGTATTACACATTTTACATATTGTACCATAATCTGTAGCGATTACATACAATGTGCAGAAGATATAAACATTAAGGAATACCTTCATTCCTGTTTAGTTGTTCGGTTAGGTGCTGCATGACATTATCCACGATGTGTGTGCTACACATTTCTTTGAGATGTAGCATGTAGATTGTGTTGCTTATCAACTTTTACACTGCGAACACTACAAACTCTATAAGATACATTGTTCGTTACATGTCGTATGCGGTAAAATTCATATTAGTGTGAGTTATGTGTGTGTGTGTGGGAGTGTGTGGACACACATATATATATATATGTGTATATATGTATATATATATATATATATGTATATGCATATGTATATGAATATGTACATGTAAATGTACATGTACATGTATATGATATGTGTATGTGTACATATGTGCATACAAGTATAGATGTATATATGTGTGATATGATCTGGCATGAGATGAAAAATATGTTGTACATAAACAATAGCCTCGAAAAGACGTGTACACTATTTGCTGTATGCTTCAGACCATCTACTGTAGAACTACATATGGATCGCTGTTGTTTTTTATAACGCAATTTAGAGGGTTTAAGCTTTGCCGGTACTTGTATCAGTAAGCTTAACCTGTACAGTACTTACAAAAACCTCAACCCTACCCGCAACCCACTGAACCCATGCTTCTTCAAACCCTGAACATCGAAGCATATTCCGGTTTAGGGTTTAGGGTCCAGGTTTGAGGGTTTAGGGTTCAGGATGGTTTAGTTTACTTGGAGGGGCAGGGGACTTCGTAAGTAGGGCTATCAGTAGAGTGCTAAGTACCCTGAATGGAGTTGCCCCAATTATAACCCTACTTATCACCCTACTTACTAAGTCCCCTGCCCATTCTCCTGAAGCCCCAAGGCCCAGCTGTTTGAGCTGCCCAAGACACTGGGTTAGCGCGTGGCCGGCGGAGCGACGCCAGCGGAAAGCGTCCCGGATCGTGTCTTCCTGGGATTTTGTTTGAGGCTTCAAGTGTTTTGTGGGGTCAGGGTTTCAGGGTCAGCGTTTAGGGCCTGGGGATCTTGCAGCTTGCTTGAGGGCTTTCTTTTTTGCGGGCCCTTTCCCTCCCTGCTACAGTCGGAATACGAGGGCTTAGGGTTTAGGATTTCTCAGGGTTTTGGGGGGCGTTTCGGGGGTGGTTCGTACTTAGATGCTTAGGGTTTGAGTTTGAGGGCTGAGGGCTTACGGATTCTTTAGGGCTTGAGGCTGTAGGGCAAGGTTCCTCAGTTTTGACCGTCTCTTGTGTTCAGGATCTCTGGAGCGATTTTAAAAGCGTTTGTCATGACTTCATCATAGGGCTTTATGGAACACAATTTAATACGCACAGCTGCGTCCACTTCGGGCGAAAGGAAGTTGTACCAGGCGATGCCGGTGAAGACCTAAGAGAAAGACCAAGCGGAACACAGAGAGAGAGAGAGAGAAGGACCGGAGAAAGTCTAGTGCAGCAGGGACTAACGTTTAGGTACAGCTTTAGCGGATTTTAGAACTTCGGAGATGCTTGGAGTTCAACATTTGAGATCCCGAGCAAGACTTATGACCTCCAGAAAATGCCGCGAGTGGCAATCTGCATGGTCATGCTGATCACGGCGAGAAGGAAGGTCTGGAGGGAGCCCAGCGGACCCAGCGCACCTTGGCTCAACCCACAAGAAACCAAAGACAGTGACTTTCTATCGCACTCTGCTTCTTGCTGGGGCGCCGGTTCCGATGAACAGGAAGAGGTCCCAAGTGGATTCCCCGAAGCGGTAGTACTCCTGCGTCTGGACCTGAGCTGCACTCACAGGGTGGCGCCCCCTTCCTTCTGCATCCTTCTGCTAAACGCCGCAACTCCCATGTTTTTGTCTTGCAACCCGACTCCACAGCAGCTTTGGCTTTCTCATCTTTCAGGTCAAACGCTTTTCAGCTGGCGCAAGGGGGCTCTACAGGGGTAGGCGCAGAGGAAGACAAAGCCAAGGAACATCCAGCACCTTCTCATCCACGTAGTCCACGAAGGGCATGGTGATTCGTTTCCGAATGTGCTTGTCCGAGGGAGGGATGGAGAGCTCTGGATCATACCTTGCCACCGAAAAACAGGGTGGTCGCGTTATCTCCCTGTCTCGTTCAGACACTTGTCCAGGCATCACTGCTTTCTCTCTCGTGAGCCCTCCACATACCTAACGGATGAGCCGAGGATCTGGCGGCAAGAAATTTGATATCTATATAAGCTCCGAAAAACACTCAAGGCTCCGAGACCCTCGCAACTGGGGTGCAGCCAGGTTACGTTGACTTGCTCTTCTGAGAATCTGTCGAAGACTCGCTAGGTGGGTCCGACATGAACTCGTTGGCTCCACACGGCTCGTCTACCTCGAGCGTGATGCGACTAGTCTTACACCTGCATCAAGCTTCCCGGGCAGCAACAGAGCGAAAAAGGGTGTCTAAACGTCTTGTCTCTCAGCGCGCTGACCCTCAACTCTTGGTGCGGAGGTGCTGAAGATTCGGAGACGAACCGCACCTCCACCATCTCTAACGCCTGAGAAAACAGCAAGGGGTCGAGGTTTTCGAGTAAGAAGTTTAGCGCTGCTGTGTCAGTGCTTGGAAGATTCTGAAAGACCCTCCCACAACATCTTCTGCGGCCGTGCCTGCGATGCGTGCGCTGCGTTGATCACATCCACCAACTTTCCGTTCGTCTCAGAGATTTGCAGCATCTTCTCCAAGACCTGCTGGGGGGTTCCGAACATAGGGGACAATAAATATATAAATATATATATATATATATATATACAATATACTAATATAACATTATAATACTACAATAATAATAGAATGATAATACCCTAAATAGTAGGATCCTTATGTTACAAGCAGCCTAAAATGAGGAAAACTCCGTGCTTGGAAAAGTTATGACTGAGGAGATCCGCACGGGAGTTTCCGACAATTAAGGGTACCTTTAAAGGGTTCCTTTAAGGGTTCCTTAAAGGGATCTACAAGAGTTCTATAAAAAGTTCGCCAAAACAATGTGTCAAACTCTACGACTCTACCACTTTTCGACTTCCCGAATCCACTCCAAGAAAAATACTGTACTCCACTCTACCACGCTTCGCCTGGACTCGCACGTCGAGACCTTCAAGAGCTGAAAGTCGAGCCTCCGAACTCGAATCGTCTGCAGTTTCAGTTTGAAAAGAACTCGAAGTCCGTGGTGGCAAGGTCTCTAGACACCCTGTGACGAGATAAAAAGCATGCTCGGAGCCTCGAGATGATCGAAATGCTCATGGATCTCCTCTGCAGTTTAGGGCCCAGGGTTTACGGTCTAGGGTTGGTTCAAGTTCCAACTGCCTTCGCGTACTTTGGGAAACCTTGGGGCGCTGCACCTTTTTTTGTTCCTTGCAGCTACTATCGCCATGGCGTGGAGTGCATGATGGTTTACAAGCAGGTATCTGGCACTTCATTGAAATCTAATTATCTACATCTTCTGCCAGATGGCCGGCTCTGCAACATGCAAGGAAACTTGTGAATGTCAAAGCGTGTCCTTCAACACCTGCATGTCATGCTCCACCTTCGAAGACATGGGGCCCGCGCTGCACGACCCGCACCCGACGAGCTTTGGTCTTGCTCGGACAGCCTGTGGAATTAAAGTAAGTGTTTTGTCCTGTCGACACTCCGCCTTGCAGCTACTAGGCGCATGCTGCTGTTTATGACTTATGATAGCATAAGCATGAAACTTATGAAGCTTGCAACGCGGGAGCAAATGCTCGAAAACGCGATGAGCCAAATGATGAATATTCGCGCAGCGTGCGGCACAAGAGCTTTGATCCGCAGTCCAGCTTCACGGCACATGATGGTGCAAATCGTTACATACCCACCCAAGCCTAAATCGTCACATACCCACCCATGCAGGCTTACATTCGCGATCAAGAACACACCGTGACAAGTTTAGTCTTGCACGCTTGTTTTAAACCGCAGTTTTAAATGCCCATCACAACATGCAGTGCAACGGTGCGCCGCCCAAGCCATCGGGACCTTGGCGATCGTTCAGAGCGGTTAAGGCCGAAGGTTACATGGTCCTGGTGAGTCACGTCGAAGCTGCCACACTCTGGCTGTTTTCGCAATGTTTTTGGATAAATCGCAAGATGGATTTGAAGTGTCCATTAATGCAAGTCAAGCTTGCCCGGTTGAGGTGTCAGCAACGATTCTGTGAACATTGGGAATGAACTGAACACGGGCAGACGCGACAGCTGCGGCAGTCTTTTTTGGTTTGGGCGGGCTTCGTCGGCAGCGGCTGCTGCTCTCAGTCCCTATCTAAACCACGAAGCAAACCAAACAAACAAGACAGCGGTGAAACATGAGCACAAGAAAATAACAGGCAAAAGAACCGCGGCGAGCAGACTTTGTCGGCTGAAGTCGTTCAGTTCACTACCCATGCAGGGAAAGGGTGAAGCCCATATCCAGGTCCCCGGCCGTCGTTCTAGTCCCGTCGGACAACGAGCGACCCCCTCAGCCCTGTTCCATCACGGCTGTGCACACCTAAGTCCAAAAATCCACTGCAATGGCGGCTCGTGTAAGGAGGTGCCGAACAATGGTGCGTGCGACCCAAGTGTGCCGTGTTGCATGTACCCCGCAACCGCGAACTTCCCTAGAGGAACCTGGCCGTCCGTTGCGGAGATGGCGAGGTGGGGTGGCCGCCAACCAGTTGAGCTATAATGCATTTCAAGGGTTGCTGGGACCCTTCGCGGCGCATTTGTGGCTTTCCTTGCGGCGCATTGCAGGAGGTAGTAGTAGTCGTCGTACTAGTACTAAGTAGTATTGCAAGGCCTTGCGAACGTCACACAATCCATGTGCTCGACGAGGGAGGTCATTATTGAATGGACGCTCAGTGGCAGCTTCATCGTTTTGATGAATCCTGAGTGGAAGACCTACCGACGGCTACGTTCAATCCATGCCATTCAAGTCAATCCGTGGCTCTGCCACCCCAAAGTTGGGGTAATAAGAGATGCGCACCGGCCCGCTCTCGCCATCCATACTGACCCCATCTGCGTCTCTTGCAATTGCAGTAATTGCAGAGCTCCCATGAAGGCCAGCATGAGAGGACATGCCAGCAGAGGCCCCATCAGAAAACGTGGTCGATACCAGAGCCGCACCTCCATCATCGTCCTCTTCCGAAGCACTGTCATGCACCACCAGCACCATCGAGTCAGCCGCCACAGGATTCCAGGCATGAAGGCTGCTCGTAGTTGAAGGGGGCTGCAGCAACAGCCCTGGCTTCCGACTCTGCCGGCGCATCAGAGATGGACGGGAAAGCGCTGCCGCTCCAGTCCGCTCGGAGAGCCGACGAGGCCAGCCGCAGCAACATTGCTTGTAGATGTGATCGGGCAGAGCGAAGGAAGAAGACATTCTGCCGCCCATCGCATTGCTCGGTATGTGCATCACCCGCTGCAACAGTACAAGCTTGACAGCAGCGCAAATGTCACCAGCCAGCCACCCGCCCGCAGTGCATGGTACTGCAAATAGATAGCATGGTCCGCCGAGCATCGCGCTCCTGCCGTCTGCTTTCCCTGCCTTCATGTGCACGCACGCATTGTGGCGGCCATGAATCATAGACCTGGGCGGTGACAAGATGGAGGGTGTGTTATGCGATGCAGCTAGCTGCCTGGCAAGTCGTGTGGCATGGGCACTATGGCTAGTAGTGACAGCGATGGCAGGCACGCACACTTGTCCGGCGACGCGTACTTGTCTCACCCCATTCGAAGACAAGCCAGCAGGAGTGCCGCCACAGATGTGGCTTGCACCACCGGTTCGATCCCTCATAAAAAGAGCTGCACCCTAAAACACAGTCACACCCCTAAAAGGAACCAGGCACTTCAGGGCTTGCACTCAGTCGCATGACCACTCTACTCAAGCATCGTCAGCAGTGATCTAATCGGCATCAACAAGGGCCTTTGATCCTGAAGACAAGCCCGCGGCCCTTGGCAAGAAAGCTCAAGCAAGCAAGGTCCTTATCCATGGAGCTCAGGCTAGGTCCGGCCCGTGTTGACCTGCCCCGGCATCACAAACCCAGCTGGCTGCAATCGTTCGCGGTGTTCGGCAGTAGCCCTACATGGTGGTTGGCCGCAAGGAGGACGAAGTCACCTTCCCCGTGGTCAAAAAGCTGCTGGTCTCAGTGCTGCCAAGATGCTGGCAGAACATGCTCACCAAGGCGAGTGGTGTTCTGTGGCCGGAGCTCAAAATGGTGGCGCGGAAGCTCGAGCTTGAAGCAGACCCTCGCAGAGTCGCCCAGAGTCAAACCTTTCGCCTCGGACTTTTCTCCAAGGGAGGACTAGTGGGTGTGTCCAAGCCTATGTATGGCCACATTGCGGTCTGCAGGTTTGTGAATGCGGCAATAGCGGTGCGACGACCTTTACCTGCGCGAGCTTCTCGATTAATCTAGATGATGCAGTGGAGCCACACAAGGACATGTGCAATGCGCCTGATCCCGCTGTTCTCTTAGGCCTGTCAGACCACGAGGGCGGCGGTTTTTCGCACGCGTCGGTTCTTGGACACCACTTCATGGAGACCTCCGAGGGTTTCATGCAGGGCGAGGTAGTGGATACTTCTTGCAGAGCATAGATTTTTTCAGTCGTCAGCTGACGCATACAGCACTTTCTGCCAGCTTCGGCCGCCGCATGTTGCCCTGACACCATCAGCAATCAGTAACTGTACCTTGTGAGCAGAGAGGATGGTCTGGCGACGACAACCAAGAAGAACTCATGTCGGACGTCCAAGCCCGTAAGCTGTTGTTACTGGGGAAGTTCCTGTGGCGCACACGTTTTCGAAGGGTTTTTTGGCCTCGAATATGAGTCCGTCAAATCTGTCAAAATGAAGGTCAAGACAAAGGTCCAGATATTCGGGAGGCTTTCCGCATGGGGGTCTCTGCTAACAGAGCAAATAAAAAACTGGCGAGAGCCAGGTGGGTCCATCTCGTGCATGAAGAAGTTTTGGAGTTAAGCTTAAATCTGTCAAAATGAAGGTCGAGACAAAGACCAGATGTTCGGAAGGCTTCCCGCATGGGGGTCTCTGCGAACAGATCAAAAAAAAACTGGCGAGAGCCAGCTGAGTCCATGTCGTGCATGAGGAAGTCTTGGAGTTGAGCACCATGCACAAATTCCGAATTGTCAGCCACACCTCTTAACACCATAACTCTGCATAGCTCAAGAAGTCCTGTTTAGATCTGGTGCAGATACCTTCTAGAAAATTCCTCCTGCGATAAGAATGGGCCGCCAACACCCGGAAGTGCGATCTGTTACGGAGAAGAATGGGCCAGAAGCAGCCACCAAGACGCGCGAATACGACTGTTACGGATAACTACTGCTACTGCCACTACTACAACTACATCTACCACTTAGTCTTGATGCCTGGGTTGTCAGCATGCACCGCAAGCGTTGAATGCACACTCTGGTGTTGTCTTCCTCATACTCTGGTAGTTGAAGGAACTTGGAGCAACAAGACTTGCTTCTTATCGTCACGCTTTAAAGACCCGCCTAGGGAAGACTCCTTATAGTGCACAAGTTTCCATGGATTTTTCGGTCTCGAAAATGGACCCGTCAAATCGGACAAAAGCTGAACAAGGAACGATCTGTCCGTTTCCAACCAGTGCAACAGCAAAAAGTGCAGTGAGCAACCAGCCGGTCTAGCAACAGTAAATGCAACCAGAAGCAAGGCAGAGGCAAGGAATGTTGCAAATAGAGTCTCTAAAAGCAAAAAAACTGACGAGCTAAGTCCATGTCGTGCATGTTTGAAGTAGAGCACTGTGCATAAATTCCGAACCGTCAGCCACACTTCTCTGCACAGCTCAAGAAGTCTTGTTTAGATCTGGTGGAGATACCTTCCATAAACTTCTCCGCTCTTACACGATCTGTTCCGGCGCCAACCAGTGCGTGCGACAGCAAGTGCAGTTCGAGTCGCAGGCGCGGCTGTAGGAGGATCCGCAGTTTGCGGATAAACTCTACAGCGCTGGCTGTCCCGCGTCTTTAAACCTACGAACTGGTGGCAGAACTTGGATGCTCTGATCAAAGCTGTTGATGAGCAGCCCAAGCGCCATCGTCCCAATCTGACTGAACTCACGAGCAGCGTGGCGGCCACCGAAGACCCATCTACTTTGACGGTGCAGCGGGCCATCCTCTAGGAATGGCGGAAACAAGAGATAGCACTTGCGCTATCTATTACCTTCACTGGTCGATTCTGATCGCTCCTATCGCTCCCCATGTCCCTAACCGCTGGCTCACTGCGCGTCAACGTCGATCATTTTGGCTTTGGCATCTACAGCTTCACGGACAGAGCTATGCGGCACGCTGCTTCTCCGAGGCGGAGACCTGGCGTCCCTGTGTTAACCCGCTGATCGCTGCGGCCCTTGCCAAGCTGTGCGAGCCA